AGTGCGTTGATGTCAACCCGAGGAGCAGTGATCAGATGGGCTGATATGTCGGGGCGTAGACCCTCCACAAAGCGCTTGCACCGCTTCTCCATGGTTGGGACGAGGTCTTGCCCAAACTCTGCGAGTTCGTCAAACTTCTGACGATACTCAGGTAGTGTGAGTTTGCCCTGGGTGAATTTCAAGAACTCCTCTCGCTTCGCCTCGACGAAGTGCTCCGGAATGTACTCTTCATGGAAGAGTCGATCGAATGTGGCCCACTGCATGGGCTCAGGGACGTCTGCTCCCACGCGCTTCCACCAGTCGTAAGCGGAATCCTGGAGTAATGCGACTGCGAGGTCGCCACGCTGATCTTGTGGAACCCTAAGGTTCCCTAAAACTCGGATGGTTCGCTCAAACCATCGTTTAGCGATCATGGGGTCGGCGATCTGGTCGCCTAGGAATTCCTCAGCTCCATTCTTCCAGAGCTTCTCGATAGTGACCACAGCCACCGGTGGTGGCGGTGGTGGCGGTGGTGGAACATATGCGCCAACCAACTGCTGGAGGAAGTTCATGAAGTTAGCCGCGAACTGCGGCTGGTTGATAGGAACGACTCCTAGAACAGGGCCCGCGCCTGGGGCTGCCTGCTCTAGGGCCTGCTGGGGTGTGAAGCTCGACGCTTCCGTGTGCATGCTCACGTGCTCAGGCTCCCCATGTGGGACAGCCTGTCCATCGTTGCCTGCTGCTTGACTCATTCTCTATGGGAATAGCTTAAATTAGAACTAATGACAATATGACATACATGTGAATAAAATAACGGTGTACCTTTTCCTGGAAGTGATGTGATGGGAGATGCGGCTGTGGACTTTTGAAAAGACTCTTTGACCAAGATGACAAAATATGTTTTTTTTTTGTTTTTTTTCACAAAACCGAACTTCTCTGATACCAAATTGTAACACCCGCCTTCCGCGGACCTGGTTCGCCCGCGACCCAACGGACCGGTAGGGTTACATGGGCGGTCCGAGAACCATCCGTTACAAAAACATTAATGATTATTTAATAAGAAAACGGTTACGTTTGATTAATGGAATATTAATGACTATTTATTATGAAAACGTTTATTTTACTTGGTGAAATAAATGCTAGGAATATTATCCAAAACGTGAGTGATAACCCATATGGCTGAGGAGTGAATCTAACAAAAGAACATAAAGTGATAACCCATATGGCTATACACATATTAATACCTGTACTTAACGTACGGAAAACCACATGTTTACTAACTGTTTAATTTGCACCTGATGGGATATTTTTACACATAACAAAATGAATAACAACCACATTGAATGTTGGTGTGATGTGGAACATACATGATGATGACGACCACATCGAATGTTGACGTGACATGAAACATACATGATGACAATATGACTTGATGCACGACTTAAGCTATTAGGGACACCCCTGACTTAGTCTCACTTGACAGGATCACTCCTGCACTCCGGTAATGACCCGGGCTCGACAAAACGTCGCAAGTGAACTAGCAAAAACCGGGTGGTAGCCGTAGCCTGACTACCATGTACGTACACAAAGCCCACCTGATGAAAACCCGTTGGATACCGAGGGTTCCTGGACGGGCCCACTGTAGTAGGCGCACGGAAGCCTGACCTCCCTACAGCGGTATGCACATGATGATGAAAACCTAGGACATGCGTCTAGAATGAACATGATGAATGCTTGATGTATTTACTTTTGGTCAACGCCATGAATATATCAAATAAATAACATACATAATGAAGATTAACATTTCATGCAAACATACAATCAGATTCTGAGTCAATATGGTCTACGGGGATCGTTCTACAACTGCCTGGAATTATGCCCGCGGAACGGTCGACCGTACCCTACCGGCGGTCGACCGTGGGCTATGGTCTGGGGTCTGGGTCACAGACGGTCCACCGGGGTCTTCCGTCATGGATGACGGTCGACCGTCCCGGCGGTGACCGTTGGACTGGCCGAGGGTACGGTCCACCGTCTGAAGTAACGGTCGACCGTCCCGGTGACAGTCTTCTGTCCTTGGCTACGTTTTGATCCATTTTGCAACCTTAACACCTTGATTCTTTTTAGAACAATAATACAAACATTGATGAATATATTCCTAGTGATTCCTAGGCCAATATTTATAAGTTTTACGTAGTGAACGTTTTGATGGCTAACCTACGAACATGCATAGATTCTACGTAGGTTGCGTACGATATTGCTATGAATATAACGACATAGATTATAACTAAATGTTCTAGAATTAGAGGGGACAACTACTCACCTCTAAATGATGGGGTTGATGAAACG